GCACCTCAGACTGAGGAAGTCTCTTGGATGAGCGACGAAACGTTTCTTTTTGCTTTGTTTTGTTTTTGTTTTTTTTTTAATGTCCAGAGGACCAGATTGAACTTTTTTGGATTTTTCTACCTGGATTATTGAGCATGCATCAGGATACCCTTCTTTTATGATCCTGAGTCTGTTGTCCTTCAGGCCGTTCTTTCTGGGTACACTCCGCCATTATGACAACTTTTCCTGTGAACTAACTTTTGTCACAGTCTGTCCCCTAGCTGTCTGGTATTTCTGTCTTCCCCTTTTTTGCTTATTGTGTTTATGTCATTCTGCTCTTTATAATTTTTTGTGATTGGTTCTTGTGTTTCTGATTCTGTTTTCTGTCACTTTCCACTCACTCCTCAGTCTGCCTCTCCAGTCCTCAGTCTTTATCATTCACACTTGTCTCTCATCAGCCACTGGCCCAGGTGCTCTCATTACTCACTCTCCCTCTGTCTTATAAAAAGTATTTCTTTCCTCCACTCATCGTCCGGTGATTTTTCTTTTATGCACAGATGACTCAGTCCACCTCCGTCCGATTATCCGTCTCCGTCTGAATCTGTACCCATCCTGTTTTACCTGATCGTTTCTGTAAGTTTTGCTGCCATGCCAGCCTTTTGTTTTGTTGTTTAAAATAAATTATTTTAGTTTTAAACTCCTGCCTCGCTCGCATGCCTGCAAATGGGTTGTAAACTCAAGGATTGTGTCAGAATCACCGGACCAGACCCAGATCCAGCAGGTCCTACGTTCTGCTCCAAGCGCCACCATGAACGTGAGCAACTCCGCCAGGTAACACGTAATTATCTTGACACTAGGGCCAACCCCAAGGATCTTTGGAAGAGGTTGGTGGCCAGTGAGGACTTCATTAATGTGTTTACCCAGTTGCAAATTGAAGGCAAGGAACCGGGGGTGTACAAACTCTTTTCTAAGGCTTGGACTGAGAGACGTGTGCTGCGCTCTCTCTCCTCCTGCCGTCTGCCCCACCCCCCGGTCCTCTGAAGCACCCCTCTGTGGCGAACGAAATGGTCCTGACTATAAACTCCTCGCCTGATCCCACTCTGGCTTTCCTGGTCTCAACGCCCACAGACCCCTCGCTGGACACGCTGGCTGCAGACCCCAGTCCAGAGCCCTCAGCTGCAGACCTCAGTCCCGACTCACCGGCTGCAGAACCCAGTCCCGACTCACCGGCTGCAGAACCCAGGCCCGACTCCCCGGTCGCTGAACCCAGGCCCCACTCCCCAGCTGCTGAACCCAGGCCCCACTCCCCGGCCGCTGAACCCAGGCCCCACTCCCTGGCTGCTGAACCCTGGCCCCACTCTCCAGCAGCAGAATCCAGGTCTGGTACCATAGCAGCAGAATCCCGTCCTGACCCAGCAGCAGGAGCAGGAAAACCCTGTCCTGACCCAGCAGCAGTAGCCAAATCCCGTTCTGATCCATCAACTAACACCATCCTGTCTGTCCCCGCTGCTGCCGACACCGTCCCTTCTGGTCAAACCGCTGCCAGCTTCATCACCTCATCTTTTCTGGTCTGTCTGCTACTAACATCACCATCACTGGTCCCACTCCATCCTTCCCACTCTGGTCGGTCCTCTGGCTGTCCACCCGAACTCTGGTCCCACTCTGGATGGTCCTCGGACCGTCCACCTGAACTCTGGTCTGCTGTGAACGATGCCCAGGGCCGTTCATAGAAAATTCTTGTTTTGGATTCTCTTGCTCCCAGGTCTAGCCCTGCCGGTTTTTGTTTAGATTTTTGTTTTTTGCCCTCCATCCTTGTGTTTCCCCCGTCCTCCCACCCATTCTGTTTTTTTTTTTTTTCCTGTGTTGTGGTCCTAGGGGACGTCAGGAGCCGTCCCTTGAGAAGGGGGTTATGTCACAGTCTGTTCCCTAGCTGTCTGGTATTTCTGTCTTCCCTTTTTTTGCTTATTGTGTTTATGTCATTCTGCTCTTTATAATTTTTTGTGATTGGTTCTTGTGTTTCTGATTCTGTTTTCTGTCACTTTCCACTCACTCCTCAGTCTGCCTCTCCAGTCCTCAGTCTTTATCATTCACACTTGTCTCTCATCGGCCACTGGCCCAGGTGCTCTCATTACTCACTCTCCCTCTGTCTTATAAAAAGTATTTCTTTCCTCCACTCATCGTCTGGTGATTGTTCTGTTATGCATAGACGACTCAGTCCTCCTCCGTCCGATTATCCGTCTCCGTCTGAATCTGTACCCGTCCTGTTTTGCCTGCCTGATCGTTTTTATAAGTTTTGCTGCCACGCCAGCCTTTTGTTTTGTTTAAAATAAATTATTTTTATTTTAAACTCCTGCCTCGCTTGCCTGCCTGCAAATGGGTCGTAAACTCAAGGATTGTGTCAACTTTAACAAACTTAAAATGATGATGCCTGCTGTCAGGTGCATGCTCAGGTGAACCCCGCTCTCAGCTGGCCGCACAATAGGACAGCGACCTGCTCTCAGCTGTGGTGGAAGAATTTGCAGCCCCAAGAAGCGACAACATCAAAAGCTGAAGCGAGCAGCATGTTCACATTACCACCATCCAAACAGAGAACAAGTGCTTTTGCAGAGTGGGAGAACACAGTGGATGAACCAGAGTAATGATCATGTTACACTGTACATCACTCAAAAGCATGCTATGGCCGATGAGTGAGATTTCCTGGTATTTTGGAAACTAAACTCAAATGCATACCCAAAACTGGCCAAGTTGGTGAAATCTGTGCTCTGCATTCCAGCGAGCAGCAGCAAGCGAGTTTTTAGTGCAGCTGGCTGCGCAGACCAGCGGAGAACTGCTCTCATACAGTGGACACAATATTGTACAAGATGGAAACTAATTAGTTTCTGGCTTTTCTTTCAGCCAGCCAACTATCTGTCCATACATACATACATACATCCTTACATCCATTATCTTTATGCATTGTCTATTGTTTGTTATAGATATTTTGTTTATTAAAGTACAAAGTAGCTATAGCATAAGCATAGTTGTAGAATGTAAGTCTTTTCAATTTATTTTCATTCACACATCAGTTTTTTTCTGTGGTATAGTGCGGGTGTACGTTAAATCGCTCTGTCATCAGGTGACAGCATGAATCAGCTTAATTTTGAAAGACTTTCTTTTATATCTAAATTAAAATAGTGTAGTGAACCTGGTCTGACCCTTATCTGACCTCAAATCTACCAGATGGACAGAGACTGTTATTTTCATTGATCTGAATAAGTCTGGGCCATCTGATGACTTTCTTTCTTGAATTAATCAAGCAGAAAAGACAATTCTTTATAATCATTACTGTCTTACAAATGTTTTGATAATCAAATTGTGTTAGTTCACTCAATGCTTTACAGGTTGAAAAGAACTACTCATTTTTATTTTACATAAACAGTAAGTAATGATTTTTATTCCTCATTCAGAGAAGAAATCACCTGAATATGCATTTCTTGATTTTCTGTCTGAAATGAGTCAAGTCGTAAGTATGTGAAAGGTTGGTTTTCGGTCAACTAAAATGTTTACCGAGAAAGATGTCATGTTTAAACTTTTTCAGAAGATTACCAAGAGTTGACTCCACGAAGTCTGCTCTCCTGCAATAATCTCTCTGTCAGTTGTTAAAACAATCTCATCCTCTGACCTTGGCTTAGATAACATCTTACGTCACAAAATCACTCCTCTTTCTGGTCTATCCACGAATCAGAAAGCTCTGAAGTAAACTCGGAAGTAAACTCATTTAAAATGTGACAACTTCCCGGTTCTAAGAGGGCAGAGATTCCAAAGAGTGCAGTAGATTCCATGGAGAATGGAAAAGTTCTGAAGGAGTTCAGAAGAGAACTAGAGTTATGGAGAGTTTTGGAGTTGCCGAGAATCCAGAGACGTTTGGAATTATAATTTCTGTTTGAGCTAACCACGCACGACTCTCTAAGGATTTTAGCAGTTCTCAACGGAGACGCTGATATCAGTTGAAAAGGATTCTTACTGAGGTGATCGATCATCAACAAGGTAAAACTTCTTCTTCGACCAAGTGTACCGTGGGCAAAGCTGAGATCTGACGGAGCGTGCAACTTCTGGTCAAACAGATTAAATTCCCTCACATAGTTCTCTGTAAGATAATCTCCTTTCATCTTAAACTCTTCTCTCTCACAAAATCAGTACAGATATTTTAGAAATATCTGAAGCAAAGTCCTCAAATCACCGCCGAGTGATTTGAAGTTCATTATTTGTGAAACTGTCTGTTATTATTTTCATATTTTGCCAAATTAATGTAAATGTTTGATGTTAAACTTTGATTCTGAAAATAAATGACTCCATTCATTTGATGGGTCAAAGATAATAACGTCTCTCGTTCACATTTCTGTTAAATTCAATGCACGGCATTTACAGTCAGAAAAATGAAGAACTCGTGAAAAGTATGCATAAATATATACCCCGTATATTTGTCATACAACAAGTGACACGTACCCACGTGACTCACTACAAACTGGTGGCTCGTAACGGTTCATGAATGACTGTTAATTCGTGTAAGATTGATTTAAATGTTGGCATGTTGAAAAAGTAACAGTTTATCAGCTGTGATTGAACGCAGTTGGAGCTGCGCCTTTCAGGCAAACGCTGCATGTTCTAAGCGTTGGGCTGGCAATGTTTTAAGAGCTGAAATTGTGTGTCATATGTTTTTTTAAAGCTGAAATTGTACGTCTGTTACGTGTAACTAAGCTGGCTTTGAGCTGTGGAAACGCTTTATTCTGTTTAAACTGTGTTCCAGACGCTGTTCTGGTCCGCTTCGGTTCTGTGGTTCCGACTCGGTTCTGGAACAGTTCGAACGAAGTGTTAAATAGCTAGAAAGACGTTTTGTCACGGAGCGCCGTTCTCTGTGCAGCTCAGGGGGTTATTCGTTACAAATCTTAACAGGAAAAGTGCATTTTGACAGTTTAAAAGACGAAAAAGTGACGAACTATTTTCAGGCTAAACCTAGCATGCTGGTTGCTTTAACGCTGCGTCATTGGTTGAAAAGACCGTGTGTAACGTTCTCATTGGCTGATTGACGTGTCAATCACGTCACCCGGAAATGAAATTCGTTTTCATAGGGAAATAAAATCTGCTTTTAAAGCTGAAAAGTAACTTTAAAGTGGTTTTGACACATTGGTTAAGTGCTTCGAAGCTATTTGCTGAAATTTTGCTACGTTAGAGTTTAAAATTCGTCAAAAAACGATGTTTTTAAACAACGCTAGCGATGCTAATTTTAAGCTAAACAGCTAACGACCGGAGCTTAAACTACGCTTAAAATCACTAAATGAAGCTGAAATATTGTTCCAAAAACTCATGTTCAGGCTAAGAAGTCGTGTTTGTTGAAATTTTGCCACGTTTGTGTAAAAATCCGTTCAGAAATGTTGATTTTAACCGAGTTTAGCCGAAGCTAACTTCAAGCTAAGCGGCTAACAACAGGATGTCAACCGAACGCCACAGGAAGTTATAGCTCCCCTAGTGGATAACACAAACAGTGTCTGAGTTAAGATTAGTAAGGTAAGGCTGACATCTTCTGGACAACCTTGAGAAGACAGGTTTTCACTCGCTTATTAGGTCTAAATAGTGAAATTAAACGTTTTAATTTTCTAAAAGGCATTTTTCGAGTTAATAAACGTTCCTTAAAAGCTGAAAATTACTGTTATCTTGCATGTTAAAAGTTATAAGGTATTTATGCAAACGAGCATTCACCAAAGAGTTTTATTTCACTGGTAATCCCTTAAAACTAAGGTTCAAAAATAAACATTAACTTTTTAAAAATAGAAACAGTTACAGATTTTCACAAAGTTGGAAAAAGTTTACTCATTTGCTAAAAGGATAGTGCACGTTTAATTGATAAATCACTAAATAAAAGTAAATACATCAGACAAAGAGACTTTGCTGATTTTATTTATTTTGAAAAACCTAAAACATTAAAATTCTCCTGTTTAATCTTTAAATAGAAGAAAAATGACAAGCGAAGAAGAAGAAGACAACTTTTTAAAACCAACAAATGATGACATCATTTTGGGGGCCTTAAATATTTTAACAACTCCACTGATTGGTACACAATTAGAGCAATTACAACAACTTGATGAAGCTCAAAGACAAGAAGAGCTGAAAAGTCTGGCCGCAGGAACATTAAAGACAGAGAGTAAAAAGCTCAGCCTTGAACGGTTAGCAAAAATCTCTCTGCTTCTAAAAGCTGAATTGGATGAACGGTCGGAACGCCTTGACTGGATGTCTAAAACACATGAGAAGGATCTCTCAGAAATGCAGGCGTCACTAGAAGCAAAATCTTATGAAAAGCTTAAAGAAATAGACCGTCAGTACAAAGCCACGTGTGCAGATAACGAGGTGCTACAACAACAGTTGCAGTTTGCAAAAACTGAACTGGAACAATGCAAAATAGATAAACAAAATCTACAAAAGCTACATATGCGCTTAGAAGGTGACTACTGTACATCCCAGGAACATTTAAAAAAATGTGAGGCGAAACTAATAGCAGCAATAGAAAAAGGTCAGAATGTTGTTCAAGGTGACCTGGAATCCAAGCCAGACCTTGAACAAAGTCGGACTAATACACCAATTACTCAACGACCTCTTTACTTAAACAGTGCTTTTAGACCCATCCAATCACCTACACAAACGGGCAGAGTAACACCCCCACAACTGATCACGCATGTGAGACCATTGATATCTTCTCCATCAATGGATGACTTGCAAAAAATCTCAAAATATGTACAACGTTTCATCCCTGAACCGTTGGGTTCCGCTGGAACGAAAGCGTACCTCAGAGATCTGGATTTCAGATTGAGAGCTTATCCAAACGCTACGGTAGAAGATAAAATCAGTCTGATACGACTCACTTCGGACAGAGAGGTGTTTACCTTCATCGAGCGTCTACCAGATGCAACGAGAAGGGATTACAAACTTCTGTGCGAAGCTCTGATCAAAGAGTACGACACCTGCGCAGGGCCTGCTGGTATCCAGCCGCAGACAAGGTCACGCAGGGCAAGAATGAACATCCAAAAGTTTATTACAAAAGAATCTTCCAAGCTTATTTTGGTAGCAGAAATGAAACCGGAATGGAGGAAGAAGAAGGTTTTAAATTTGTTTTCAGCAAAAATCTCCATCCTGACATTCAAACGTCAGTGCAAATGATGGCAAATTACAGAGAAAAATCCATCAGTGAGATTAAACAGTGCGCTGTGAACGTGTTTGAGGCACGTTGTCATGCCAAGACGCCCATAGAAGTGTTTCCTGGTGTAA